CACTTGAGGAGGAGGTTGTGGAGCATCAACATCTTGTGCTTGTACCACCATTTGCTCATGAGAGATATGAGTATCTTCATTTTCCACTCTCCCATCTTTTTCGTCATCTTTCTTGTGGTACATTTGATGAAGAAGGTTGGCTAATGACTTGTACATCATCTTCATCATCTTTTGGCTTGATGTCTCCCACCGGAATGTTCTTCATAGCCTCCCTCAATGGTTCATCACCTACATCATCAAGATTCTCATGTGCTCCTTGGGAGCCGTTAGATTCATCAAATTCCACATCATATGTTTCTTCAACCAAGCCGGTGGCATGATTAAATACTCTATATGCTTTGGACTTCAATGAGTAACCAACAAGAAAACCTATATCACAACATCTTTGAAACTTCCCTAGGTGTTGCCACTTCTTGTAGATGTAGCACTTGCAACCAAACACCCTAAAGAAGGAGACGTCCGGCTTCTTCCCATTGAGCAACTCATACGGTGTCTTGACAAGGAACTTTTGAAGAAATAGGCGGTTGGATGCATAACATGCGGTGTTGATTGCTTCCGCCCATAAAGCTTCAGGGGTGTTGTACTCATCTAGCATTGTCCTTGCAAGAGTGATCAAAGTCCGGTTCTTCCTCTCAACTACACCATTTTGTTGAGGAGTACAGGTTGCGGAGACTTCATGTTTGATTCCAACTTCATCACAATAAGCTTCTATGTTTGTGTTGTCAAATTCTTTGCCATTGTCACTTCTTATCTTCTTGAGCTTCACTTCAAATTCATTTTGAGCTCTCTTGGCAAACTTCTTGAAACAAGATGCAAACTTGAAGACTTGCCTATTCACCAAAATAATACTTGGGTGGCTATGGCATAGAAGACTTGCTCATGTTGGGATGAGCTCACTCAAGAAGCTTATGAAGAATGATTTGGTGAGAGGGTTGAAGGATGTGAAGTTTGAGAAGGACAAGCTTTGTAGTGCATGTCAAGCCGGCAAGCAAGTTGCAAACACTCATCCAACCTGAGGAGAACAAGTCTGGAGTGACCGGACGCTGGAAGGTCGTGTGACCGGATGCTGAAGGCCAGCGTCCGGTCGACTCCAGTAAGGGTTCAGACTTGAGAAAGTGTGACCGGACGCGTCCGGTCAGTAGTGACCGGACCCTGAGTATCCAGCGTCCGGTCGTTTACAGTAAGCATCCAAGAGCGACCGGACGCGTCCGGTCGGTACCGACCGGACCCTGACAGCGTCCGGTCATCACGTGAAAACTGTTGCGCAGGTTGAACTGACCGGAGCGTCCGGTCAAAACGATCGGAGCGTCCAGTCACCCCGCAGAAGCTCATAACGGTTCATTTTTCAGGCTGCCTTATAAATAGTTGCTCCACTCGTGAGTGGAGTTACTTTTGCTTATTCCAACAGCTGAGAAACACGTTTGTGAGTGCCAAGAAGAGCAAGGTCCTAGTGAGGTGTTTGTGATTTGAGAATCCAAGAGTGAAACCTCATTAGTGAATCAAGAGTAGACAAGTGTGCATCCATCTTCTCATTCGGCTTCGCGTGGTCAAGTGAGAGTTCGTGCTTGTTACTCTTGGTGGTGATTGGGAGCTTGGTGATCACCCGGCGGAGCTTGTGGGTGACCCAACTCAAGTTGTGAGCGGTTTTGGGTGATTCGCCGCGACGGAGTGTCAAAGAATCAACCCATAGAGAGCACTTGATCCTTGCACGGATCAAGGGAGAGCTACACCCTTGTGTGGGTGCTCCAACGAGGACTAGTGGGGAGTGGCGACTCTTCGATACCTCAGCAAAACATCGCCACGTTCCTTTCTCTCTCTATTTACTTTGAGCACTTACTTTGAGTATTTACTTTGAGCAATTCAATACTTGTTTCACATCCATAGAATTGCTTGCTAGAGTAAGTTTGGAACATAGGTTGCGAGGTTGTTGTGCATTAGTTTGATATAAACACTTTTCTAGGCACAAGGGGTTAATTGGGCTATCCGTAGGATTTGATTATTGCAAGAAAATTTAGAATTAGCCCAATTCACCCCCCCCTCTTGGGCATCTTGATCCTTTCAGCGCCCACCGAGGGTAGCCTGGCATACTCCACCCCTCCTTCGAACAAAAAGGATACGCGAGGGCTGCCCAAAAAAGACAGGGAAACTCCTGATCGCCCTCTTGCTCCACGTAGAGGCTCGGGGGCTCTTTCTGCAATCCAGCCAAGACCCAGCGACCCGAACTCGCACTCAGGGGCTTAGCAAACGCGATAAAACCCCTCACTCAACAGGGAAAAAGCCCCTAGAGGAGTAAATCCACTCCTCCAGGGCCTCGGGGGCTACACCCAGCGGGTGCGCTCGCGCACACCCACCGAGGTCTCGAGCACAAAACACAATCCCGACGGGAGCTGCTGCAAGCCAAGTCTCGTCAAAACCCCAGGGAGAGTGCTCGCACTCCCCCCGAGGCTCGGGGGCTACTGTCAGATACCATAGAAAGGGGTACCCTAAGCAAGAACCAAAAAAATTGCTTAGACCTTGTAAATATCGAAGCCAAGAGACAACCACGAGGCCTCGGCCGATTCTCCGATTCGCCCGAGGCCCACGCCGCAAGGCCTCGGACGAGGTACCAACTCTCCGCCTCGCCCGAGGCCCCCTCGCCCAAGGCCCCGCCCGAAAGGCCTCGGACGAGGTACCGATTCTCCGATTCGCTCGAGGCCCCGCGCCATGAGGCCTCGGACGAGCTCTCAGTTACCGACTCGCTCAAGGCTGGCTCGGCATCGACCCCTTCACCGCCGCCTTGACCAATTTCCCTGACAGGATGTGACATCCAACCAACGCGTCCAACCACTCCCGCAACGTCAGCCGCACGTCGGCGCAGTACAGCAGAGTGGCCGACGGGACGGGAGTCACATCGGCGCCATGCATTCCGGGACAGGACGGGGCAGGGGTTACCGGGCGCTGTGCTCGGCACTATGCCCACGGCTGACACCCGTGCTGCACTGTGCTACCTAACCCCTGCTCCAAGGACAGAGTGGCGTGGAGAGTCAAGTCCAGGTCCCTGTAGCCTCGGAATAGACGAACAAGACCAACTGCTCCCTCCGAGCCTCGGCTATCCGCTTCCAGGCTCCTATAGCCTCGGCACTCGCGCCCACCGAGCCCCCCACGACGGTCCAGCCTCTGCATCGACTGGGCCTCGACATGTCGCCCGCAGAACGCGCCATACCATGCGTCATGCTACAGGAGCTCCCATGTCGCGCACAGGGCCAAGCTCCTGTATCCTCGGAGTCAGCACACCCGCGCCATCGCATCAACCCGGCCTCGATACTCCGCGCCGGTCAAACATACAACAACCAGCACGCCTCCAACAGAAGAAGGCGTGCCTGCCACCACAGGAGCTCCCACGTCACACAGGACCAGGCGTGACCGGCGCGTCGCTCCAGAGTACCAAGGATAGGACCGCTCCATCGACCATACCGCCACAGTAACGAGCTGCAAGGCTCGGACATACCGCCTCCGCTCACAAAACGCCACGTAGCGAACACATGTATCACCCCTGTCCCCCCTTCAACTATAAAAGGGAGTGACCAGGGTCGTTTCTAGACACGCACTCACGGAGACATCGCTCACACACGCGCAAGCAACGAGCAACACTCTGTACTACGCCCGCTCCCTCACTGCAAGAGATCAACATCTCAAACAACCCACACCGCTCCACGCAGAGACCTAGGACTAACTCCCTCTCTCGCCCTGCTTGTAAACCCCTACTACAAGCACCACGGTATAAGGAATACAAGATCGCTCTCTTAGCCTGGACGTGGAGAGAACCAGTATAAACCTTGTATTTCTTTGTATTACCATCCGAGATTAGGGACACGCAGTTTATTTTCACTAGGTGGTCGAGCACCGCCGGTCAAAACACCGACAAGTGCTCGTAATTCACAACAGCGAGACACGGTGGCAGCAGGTTCAGGCGCTGACCTGCAGTTTCAGCTGCTGTTGCTACGGTCGACAACAGTCCTTTCCTGGCCAGTTGCCTCGGAACTTGGAAGTCTGATCACGCAGTTCATGCATGCATCCCATCGGCTAAATTAAATATGCATGCCGCAGGATCTCCAGCGAGCGATGATGCTTACTCCCTCCGTCCTTTCTCGTAATTTTGGTTAAATATATATTAAAAAATATTAATATTTATAACACATAATTAATATCATTGAATACATATTTGAATCTAGTATTTTAATAAATTTATTTAGAGACACAAATATTGCACGTATTTTTCTATAAATCAACAGCCTATTCGATTGGCTGGTTCGTATCATGGCTGGTTCGTGAAAAAGTACTGCTGGTTGGTTTGTATGAGAGAAAAATACTGTTCCGACTGGAAATTTACGATCATTTACAATAAGCCAAAGCCAAACGAACAGGCTGCAAAAGTCAAATTTATTGACAAGCAAATTGTGGCGACACACGTTTAGGGATAGAGGGAGTATATGGTTTGTGGAGTAGGTTAGCTATAGCCTCCCCGGCGTCCGATGCGCCCGGCGCCTTCCCCGACCGTACTCAGTCGCTCGCCAGTTTTGTCATTTTGAAACGTGCGTCTGCAAGCTCGAGGAGGTGCACTGGTGCAGTACGTACGCAATGCATCATGCATGGCGGTGCTTGTGTCGTCGTACGTCCTCGATGCATGTCGTCTAGATACTTCCACATACTGTATATGCATGCATAGATATATCAAGAAAATGCACCAAAGTTCTTAAACTTGTCCCTCGATGTCACGTAGCTACGACACTTGAATTGGCTAAATGTATTTTTAGATATCCGAACTTGACTTTTTTCGCGATTGGCCGTTCACCCGTTTTTTCTATAATAGAAAAATAGTCATCAGTACACCCGTGTGCGATCATGCAAGCAAGGAGCCTTCGTGACACAACGCACCTTACTACCTAGCTAATGGATACACTTAGAAAAAATTACCTAGGAAAGGTGTTTTGCGACCAACTCAGCAAGACAAAAGCGAGCGTCTAGGTCCGCGGGTTCCTGCCCGGGAAGAGGACCTGCATGGCTTCCCGCGTCGACGTCGACAAGGGGAGTTTGAAGGCGGTCTGGAATTCCTCAAAGGAGGCTTCGTTAGGTAGCTCAGTCTCCACCTCGAGCCCCAGGCATTTCATCATCACCTTCCGCGCCTGAGCCTCCGGCTTCTGTTCCCTGTGCCTGCTCTTGGCGGCAAGCCTAGCGCTCCTCTTGGGGACAAGATCCGAGTCGTCCAACTCCCCCACCCGCGCTCTGGCCACCTGGGTTAGCCGTAGTCGTGGAGGTGACGACAAGGCAGGCATCGTGAGCGGCTTCTTGAAAGCAGTGATGAAGTCCTCGGTCGGCGTTGCGGCTGTCGCGTGAGGCGCACTACCACCAACAGCCGGTGTGGCTGGGCCGCCTCCGTCTGCACCTACCGGGTAGGCGGGGAAGTCGACCTGGACGGGGGGGGATCCCCAAGCCTGCTCCGGCACCAAGAGCGAGGGCCTTGGTGAGGTTTGGCCCGAGCCGCACTCGTCTGGCCTGAAAGGCACAGGTCCACCGCATGGGCCACCTCCGACACGGCCTAGGTCGTGGCACCTGCCTGATGAGGCCTTTTGGTCAGACATGCCTCCACCTCAACCAGCATGGGATTGAAGTTCCAACGCTGAACCTCCAAGCAACGGTCCACTACGAGCTCAAGCTCAGGGTGCACTGCTTGTATCTGCATTTTGTCTCCCTACATAGTGACACTAGAGTGGCCATCTAGCTGACACACACGTGCAAAGGGGGCCCCAAGCCAAGCACAGACCCCGCCCGCGCCCACATACACACGGAACCTTGAGGAAAAGTGTGCCTGGAACTCCTCCGGTGTGACAGCTGGCTGGTCTCCACCAACGAGTGCGATGAGAACAAGGGAGAGGTCCGCTCTAGACGCGACGAGCTCCACGTTCCTCTAGACGACGAAGACCTCGATCTTGGAATGGTTGTCAACATCACCCAGAGGTGGTGATACCGGCAGGCTGCTGTTGTGGTGCAGCTGCGGCGACGATGTCGGCGCGATCGATCGCTGCACACGATAAGGCGACGACGTTGTGGGCGTCAGATCTGGCGCGGCGCGACATTCCGGCGACAAGTTGGGTCGCCTCTGACCAGCAGGGTGACGTTCCACACTCCAGCTGGGGCGACGTGCCGAAGGCTTGCACGCCGGCGACCAACCACACTTGCACACCCTTGCTCGATGGCCGGTCCCCCGGCAACGGAGGCAACGAGACTGGGAGCGACACTGAGCGGCAACATGGTCGTGCGCGAGGCAGTTGAAGCAGAGACCCACGAGGTCCACTGAGACGGGGCGGTGGCGTTTGGGAGCCATTCTCCCCGGACAGCGCCGCTGACGACGACCCTCGACAGTTTGGAATCCATCGGCGTCGACGTTGTGCCTCTGACGAGGCTGTCAAGACGTGTCAGGCACGGACGCCCAACGCCGCGGGCCGAGGCACTGGTGCACTGGGACTCTTGCCGTCGGCAGTGGACTAAGGCGACGCTGCGTGGGCACTCGCGCAGCCTGCAGTGGTGGATTCCCTCGGCCAACGGGCACGCAGGTCCTGCGCCGATGACGGCGCTTCCCCTTGGCAGCCGCCGGGTGGTTAGCCCCCACGGTGGCTGCGTTTTGCACCGCATCTGGAGACCATGCCAGCGGTGAAGGCGTGGCCCGGAGAGCCTTTTGGGCGGCGTCCAGGTACGACAAGCGCATGGCAGGGGTGACTTCGTCATTGGAGGTGCCCACGTAGGGGTCTTCCTCCCAACGTCGGAACTTGCTCCTACCAGTCGATTGATGGGCGGGGAAGAAGGGTGGGGCATGCGGGGAGAGGGAGGACGGTGAGGACCTGCCTGAGCGTGTGACCATCGCTGGAGCAGTGACCACCGGTGGAGGTGTGGACGCCCGCGATGTGGCTGACGGTGTGGACGCCGGCGCGTCTTCACCGGCTTCGTCGTCGTCGTCGTCCTCGCCTTCCATGACGTCCTCGACAATGACTGTTGTCTCGCCCTCCATCCTTCCACTCGCGGCAACCACCGGTGGAGGAGAGATGGCAGCCGGAATTTGGGGAATCCCTGGCCGGGCGGAGGGCTAGGACCGGTTGGGAGGGGGCGGCTGCTATGGTGGATGGGGGTGGCGGCACGGCGACCGATTTGAGGGCGGCGCTGAGGGTGGGCGAATGGCTCCAAAGCTGTCGCGGCCACCCCAGGAAGCGACAGGGTGACCTCGCGACCCTCATGGATGGATAGATCAGGCTGTTGGGTTCAGATCTGGTGCTGGCTGGGTCGGATTGGTGCTTGGAAGGAGGGGCAACGTGGGTGGAAGCGCGGAGGCGCCGGCGTCACCGAGGGAAGGGAGCGGGTCGAGGGGTTTCATCCTCCTTCCAAGAATGGTATTATCGATATACTACAAGATATATCCAAACTTGACTTGGGGTATCATCTAGTCTAAAACCCTTAAACTTGTCAGAGTATGCCATTTAGGTCCAAATGATCTCTAACTAGACCACATGTTAGTCTCTAGCACTCCATCGACATATGCTCTCCCTTTTTTCTTCTAGCTCCATCTCCATGCTCTCGCTGATCTCCCTCTCTCCGCTTTCCAATCTAGTATATGGCATCGCATCACAGTCATCACCAACTCACCATCCCCACTCATGTCTTCATCATCCATTCATCCTCCACATTGAAGTCCAAGACGTCATCAGTAGTGCTTCTTAGCTAGGCACAAGGGGTAGGCAAACGATTGCTTTGTCACTAAGTTTCTCTCCCGGTTAATAATGGTCCGGTTTTGGATCCAAACTCCGTGGCATGTGGCCTCCTGATGAAGAGTAGATCATGTCTATTTGGATCTAAGTGACAAACTATGGCAACTCCAGGTACCTAGATGACACACTATGACAAGTCTCGTATCTAAAAATACCATCTCTAAACTTTTGATCCTAGACGACGACACGCGAAAACAAGTTCTACTATATAATAATATGCATTTTAATAAGAGTTTAAGAACCTGAATGACATCCCGGAACACATTAGACTACCACACGCGCATTAGTAGGCATGCAGTGAGAGAGAGCACAGGCGACAGCAAGCGTCGCGTCGGACTAGTGTCGATCCCCATCTACCGTGCTCCCACAGTAAGATCTATCGCTCCCCAGTTTTGGCCTTACTGCTACCAGCTTGTTCGCTTGTTGGTTTCAGCCAGCCCAAACCAGTCAGCCAACAGTGTTTTCCTCTCAAAAAAAACCAGACCAGCCAGCCTAAACCAGCACTAGCACCAGCCAGCGAACAGGCCCTACGTCTCCAAGCAGTGCATCAATGGAAGCCCTAGCTACGTACCGTGTGCCGCGCGTACGCTGCAAGATAATAATGCCTGCATCAATTGGATGCATGGCCGCGCGTGCCTTGCCGACGCTCTTTACGTACGTCGGCACAAGAGCAAGTTAAGCATGATTCATGCAGATGCAGATGCAGTGCAGCACAGCCGTGCATGCAGGTACGTGTGCTGTTGCAGACGACGACGACGTAGGCACGCAGCCCTGCAGCGCCCGCGTCACGTCGCATACAATTTCGTTCTCTGCCTAGCCAGGCTAGGGGCTTGTTTAGATACCCTCAAAATTCCAAGTTTTTTCACTCTCTCTCCATCACATCAATTTTTAGCCATTTACATGGAGCATTAAATATAGGTAAAAAAATAACTAATTGCATAGTTTAGTTGGAAATCACGAGATAAATCTTTTGAGCTTAGTTGGTCCACGATTGGACAATATTTATCAAATAAGACGAAAGTGCTACTATTCATCGGGTTGAATTTTTTTTTAATCTAAAGAAGGCCTAGCAATTGGAAGGCAGCAAGCCGATTCTGACACGGGGTGTGCTAGCTCATAAAGGCCCATAAATTAAAACCGCGCGCAGTTCCGCAAGTCCAATGCAATTCGAGTTCCAACTGCCACCAACGGACAGTTCATTCCCGCGCGCGCGTCCAGCACAAGCACGTACTAGTGTACTACGTATGTAGCATAGCATGTAATCTTCCTATTATTCTCTCTTCTTGTTTGCAATGGAAAAGGTCTGCATTTCGATTGATTCATCATGCCACTCCATCAAACCTTTAGGCCGTTCCAAATGGTTTCCAAATACTATAGGCTAGGAAGAATTCTATAGGCTAACAAGGAGAGAAATCAAATAGCTAGCGACTTTTAAATAGCTAGTCTAGCACGATCTCCAAGAAACAACACATTCATATAGCTCACACAACTCGCTACTACATTTTTTTTTAATTTCTAAGCCTCATCTACAGTAGTTAGCTATTTACAAGTTCCAATTGAGGACGCCCTTAGACAATCATCCCCATCCAAAAAGTTACTCCATATATCCATAATTGGGTCGACAGAAATGGGGGACCAAACTCATAATTATCACTATAGAAGCAAGTGGAAACTAAAACGTGAAAATTTATTTATTGATTTTTTTAGAAACGAAAAAATTTATTTATTGATGAGAGGCAGGGGAGAAATTGATTTGACTCGGGCCCACTTGAGTGAATGAATGATGGGCTGGCCTTTCTGATAGGCAAGCAAGCCTACTTTACTCTACTTTACTGGGCTGCATGCGCCCCAGGCCCATCTATCCTTTCATGGCCGAGTAAGCCTTCTTTTCTCCCTCACTCTACTCGTCTCGGTTTCGGTTTCTTGTGTGGTTGTTTGTGATGACAAATCTCATCTGACGAGTCGCTATGCCACACCATCCGTGATCATGGATCACTGCAATGCAATGCTTCCCCTTTTGTGTTAATTTGTAATGATTAACTACATGGATAGCGATACCGCCATTTTGAGTCAGCTTCAAAGCATGTTCCTTAGCTCCCTCTTGCCTCCAAGGCACACCCAAGCACTCAACTCAGTATGGCATCACTAATATGGCATAGCAACTATATGTAGCGAACCAATCAAATTCCAAGCCTTTTTAGTTTTAGCATTAAACCAATGAAATTTGGATGCTTCTCTTTCCCTTCTATCACTAGATTGAAAAAAAAAGAAGGCGTGCTTGGTTGTGGGCAAACCTATGATACAGATGGATTTTGAGGGGAGCATATGCTAGCTGAATTTTGATACAGATGGATTTTGATCTGAATTTTCATGGGCAAACAGGATCATGGACATGCAAATTGGCACGCAATGGATTTCGCCATTTCGGAGGTAATAATGCGGGGAACGAAAGGGACAGGATGAGATGCAGATGGATGGCGATGAACGACGATAGAGATGGGGAGCAGAGCCGGGGAAAAGGCGGATCGGAGCGAGGGTTTCTAGGTCGGGAGGTGGAGAGGAGAGGGTCCCTCCACACTCCACAGTCCCTTCCTTTTAATCATGCATGTGCGGTGAACACAACAGAGACAAAGCCACCTAAAGATGGGGGATTGATCGAGTTGGATGTGCATGCTAATGCATGGACCATTTGTTTAGGTTAGGTCAGGAAAGGAAGCATTCGATCGGTTTGGAATGCAAGCCGGCCGCGCGGCTGAATTCTGTTTCTGCATTTTGTCGTTGCTGTAGTACGCAACTCTTTCTGAAGCTAGACAACCAACCCCGTA